TGCTAGAGCAAGTTTACAGTTACCACCAGATCGTCAAATAACAACAGCAGAAGAATTATATTCATGGGCGACTGATCCCTTCCATCTACTAAACATTAGTGTCAGATACAGCCCTGCAGAACATTGTAAGGGAGTATTGGATTTTCTTGCAGATCGATTTGAAAAAGCAAAACGTCTAGCATCAACTCAGATGATCCATTGTTTCATCCCCCTGGGGAATTGTAAAGTCTTAGCCAAGAGGTTCTCAAATTCATCAAAAGGTGTTTCCCTAGATGTTTTCAAAACGAAACAACAGCTTGAAAGCAGTGAAAGAGTGAAAAGAACCATTTCACAATCAACTAAAAACCGAGAAACAAACAAAAAACAGCCAAAGAGACAATAGCAATAGTCTACAAACAACTCGAGGCATTCCTGACAAAAATAATAAATGTTGAATCATGTAAAGAATTTTTAGAATGTTTAATGTCAACCTTTATTGAAAATTAGAAAAATTGTAACGAAAAAAATCGAAATAAAATAGATTCACAGCGATTACCATAATTCAGGAGGGCTCAAAAAATTTGTTTCTGAAGTATATGTGTGAATTTTTTCAGAAAAATCATCTATGACATATTTAGTGAAAATTCGATTTTTCCATTTTTTTCAGAATTTTGACTCTTAGAGTATTAGGAAGGGAGAGAAAATATGTAAAAAAAATATATTGAAAGTTTACGAAAAGATGAACATTTGCTTTTTTTATTCATTGAAATTGCTTTAATAGAACGGCAGTTATGTGAGAAAAACGAAAAAACATTCCAAAAATCATATCTTGGCAGTCGGTCATTCAAAAAATTTGGAAAAATTCGGGTAATAGTTTTTTAGGTGACTCTACCCAGAAAAAAATCGCCGATAATTTTCAAGGAGGTGAGGGTCAGCGATTGGTCGATTTGGCGTGGAATACCTCAGATGCATTTGACTTTTCAATAGTCTGAACTTGAATTCCATTTCAGACTAAATTGCTCATGGAATTCGTGATTCATCTTGGATATTCAATAAAATTAAGTTTTTCATTATCAATGATCATTGAATTTTCAATGACAATTTGGATTTTCAAACCTATCGTGAAAATTAAACAACAGATTGAAAATTCAGAAGAAAAGTTGCCTGAATTTTCATAATTTTCAGTAATTTTCATTGTCGTATAACCCTAAGAAATCAAATTTCATTGAATATTCAAGAACATTGACTGATTTATCAATAACAAGATCAATGGTAATTCTATGTAAATTATTCGTTGTTACAAATTTCAGGATTTTTTACTTGAAATTCCAAGAGTAATTTTCTAACAGTGTAACAAACTCATGTAAAAATCAAGTTTTTCAATAATTTTAAATTTTTCATCGAACCTTTCAAATCTTTCTTGAGAGGCAGATCTCTCATTTTTTTGCTTCCAAATGAAAGCATTGCAAACCTTTGATTTTCACATTCTGGAAACATTTGATTGGAAACGATGTAGAATGGTTTGAAAAATAAAAATACGAAGTTTGGCGACCATGTCTGTATGTGACCACGTTCACCGCTACCTTCCCGGTGGTCAATTTATAGACACTTGAGTAATCAAGTGGCTGAAGTAATTCTAAAAAATCTACAATTTTGTCATATTATAGATCTTAATGAGGACTAACTCTGTGCAAAATTTCTGCCCGATCGCAAAAATCGAAATATCAACTTGAAATTTGGAAAGAATCTTCCTCTCATAATAACAATGTTTCGTATTCAAGATGGGTTTAATCGCATCAGTAGTTCCGGGTTTTTTATTTTTTCTGAAAATCTTTTATGGAACATTCCATTTCAACTCAGCCACCCGGTATTTTTCGGGTTCTCAGAAACCTGAATTGACATGCTCGCAGTCAAGTACTAGATAAGTACATGGTTTCCCCAAATTTTCGGTCCTTTAACATAAACTGCTTGTCTACAACATGTGTCAAAAGCTCAAATTTTTGAAAAATCATATCTCGGGGACAAATTGACGGATTTTAATAAATAAAAAACGATTTTTTTCGTTTTTTCATGTACTATATGAAAAACATATACCAGTACTGCGAGAGTAAGTAATAACCTATTTTCAGAGGTTTGAATTTTTCAAATTCGCAGGGGCCAGTCGAAAATGAATTAATTCTTTTTTTTCTCGATAGATAATAATAATTCCCATTTTTTTTGGGATATTTTGAAATGTGATATGGATATAGAGATGAAAAAAATTTTTTTTCCATAAAAAATTCTTCTTTTTCAACATTAACGGCTATAATTATGCAAATCACATATGAAACTCACCACTTACTCCTGTATCATACATTTTTATTCAATGGATGACGTAACTCCATTGTCAAATTGAAATAAGTAGAATGTAATAGTTTTAATATAGGATAGTACGATTGATGAGGGTCGGTATCGGAGAGGATTCGATAGTTTCATGAAAAGATAAATACAGACTTCCCAAAGAAACTGAGAGCAGTTCTTGCGTGAACGTATTCATGTCAACATGACACACGACTATTACTAAAGCGAGTGATGCTATCCGCCACAAGCATAGAATCCTGAAATTAGGTAGAGAGACTACTGGGAAATCTATGAGTGAAGTGCTTAAACCAGTCATAACTCCCCTTGAGAAATTGGTGGATCAGTCAGTAATGAAGGAATCTTCAAATAAAAAACAAAGAAAGGAAATGATAGCTGGTACTCCTATTCGAATGCAGGAAGAGAATATGGATGATGATGATGATTATGAGTCCTCAATATCAATCTCTAGAGGAACTTTCATCTGAGTTAGAAAGGGCGCATACCCTTATGAAGAGAATATCCCCAATCAAAGCTATGACTCCAACTGATCGTATTTCATCGAACAAGCCGGAATCCTCTACAGCGTCACAAAAGCTTCTTCGAACGTATTTAGATCGATACAGTACAGAGCGTGAAAAGAGCGATTTGGATACAGAATATGGTGTGCGTTCTCTGAACGGTATGGAAATTGGATTCAAGGATTCAATGACTCTTAAGGGTGAGGAATATACATTACCTTCCGGTCTAATTGAATTAATCTTCAAAAAGTCGCCTAACATGAGCCTCACAACCGAAACTGATAAATATACGTATGGCAATATTATACGGAGTAGCAATGCACATCGAATATACTATAAACCTAAGGGAGCTCTCCGAATAAGCGGCTCCATGAAATATCTTAGCATTATCGCAGATCTCGTCAAATCCGAGAAAACTGGGACAGCTCTTCCTCATCATATGGTTGCATCAATAAAACCTAGAAAAATGGACTATGTATATTGGGATGAGCCTAAGGAGTTGGTAGATAGACTTCGACTGCTTATGGCATCGCAGACAGCTGGAAATATGAATTATACCAATGAAATCATGGCAATAATGGAAGAGTTGCGTGAAACTGCTGTTATTTATTGAGCTGCAAATCATAATAATCTATCATTCAAAACATGAGTGTTGACGTGTTCGGACGTGCTGTAAGAATTATCGGGAGCCAAGGTCCTCCTGGTAAAGGATTCAAGGTCACTCCTGACGGACAATATGATATGGATAATCGAAGATTAGGTAATTTGGCTGACCCTGAAGAAGATAATGATGCTATATCTCTAAAGATAATTCGCAATATGTTGAAAGAGGAACTCAGTCTTATATGTAATGTGACTGGACCTATGGATGGTAAAGTTGATGGGACTGAAACAATGATTCAATCATTCCGGACGAATTTCCTGGACACTATAAAACAAAACAAGTGTTAGTAAGGAGGAAGTACAAGAACTATTAAACAGTCATTCTGGGACCATTCACCATCTAATCGAGGAGCTGACAACATTGAAAGATTCTATCACACATGAGACCAGTTTGATGCTGGAGGGTTTATATTCAAAGATAGACGAGCAATTGGAGGGAATACAAAAAGAAGAAGAAACCAACCAACATTTAGCCTTACGCAATTCTGAGCTAATTACCAATTTGGATAGACATCTCATTGCATTGGAGAATGAATGAGAAGGCAATAGTCGTAGAGGAGCTTCATAGACCAGCTTGAAGGAATTATCCACCTCGATGTGGACGCGGACTTCAAGTACGCGGACTGGATGAGACGTGGCAGGCAGATCTCGTGGATATGAGTGCCTACGCTCGTGAAAACAACAGTTATAAGTTTCTCCTAGCAGTTATCGATATCTTCTCGAAATCTGCCTGGGCCATACCTACAAAAACCAAGACTGGAAAGGATGTGAGCAGTGCTATGGTGTCTATACTTGAACAGGGCCGTGTACCACAGAATTCCGTGTACCGCGAATTCCAGAATCTCATGAAGAGTTATGGGATTAACATGTACTCCACCTTCAGTAACCTCGAAGCATCAATTTACGAGCGATTCAATCGTACCCTCAAGGAAAAAATGTGGAAGCAGTTCAGCCTTCAAGGAACATACAAGTGGATTCCTATTGTCAAGACTTTGGGTGAATCTTATAATGATACGAAGCATCGCACCATTCGCATGAAGCCGAAAGATGTCACCGCTGATGATGAGAAACAGCTATTGCAAGATGTCTACGGAAAAGTGAAAATCAGACGTATGAAAAAAATCAAATTCAAAGTTGAAGACAAGGTGCGCATCAGCAAGTATAAAAATGTCTTCGAGAAAGGTTATACGCCGAACTGGACGACGGAGATATTCACAATAAGTGAAGTCATGAACAGGAATCCTGTAACCTATAAACTCACCGATTACGAGTACAAACCAATTGAGGGGGGATTTTATCAGGAGGAGTTGATGAAAGTCAAGTATCCTAACATCTACCTGGTGGAGAAGATACTTCAACCTCGTGGAAATAAAGTTTTAGTCAAATGGCTGCGTTTCGATGATTCTCACTATAGTTGGATTAATAAAAATGAATTGTAATCCATTTACTCCTACTGGAATAATAAAACAGAAAAATCCATTGTTAAAAACATGCATTATTTTATTTACAATAGCCGTATGGTACAGTGTCAGTGAAATTTGTACAAAGTATCCTCTTATCATCATCCCAACTTAACGCTAATTTTTTCTGATGTACTGTATGTACAGTGTGCTTATGGCTCTTAATTAAATACTGTGATTTAACAAAAGTCTCATGATTCATCAGACAGTCTTTGTAATCTTCGAAAGTGATTCTCTTCAAGGTAGAGCTTCTCACTCTCTTAGCACGCTTTTTTGTCCTCTCATCACCATGAATTGTGAATGTGTACAATTTTGCTCGCAAACCAATAAACTCACTCATAACTTGTCCATTGCACTCATCTTTCATGAGTCCTAATACTTTCTTATTAACAAGTGGCATTGCATATACATTGTTTTTCGGATAATCTAATGTGTCGAATTTGGCAATGTCACGTTTCATACATTTATAAATATCGGGCACTCTGAACTCATAGAGAAGTCTGTCTGTGTACATGAGCTTAGCACTATCTCTGTATACTTGCTTAACATACTCATAATGGAATTCATAGATGAATGTTTTGGATAAATCGAGAATTGAGAAACCAGCGTAAATGGATTTGTTGAAGTACATTTTGGTGCGATTCAGCTGAATAATCACCAAATCATCACTGAAAATGGTGCAGCTGTGGAAGTTGGGTTGGGCACTGAGGACTTTTGCTCCATATCTATCCTCCCATCTTGTGACCAACTTCACATCCCTCTGTTTCCTCACATTTTCAATGTTTTTGCCGAAGACCGAATTATTCATCAGTTTGAAGAAATTCTTGTCAAACTCATTGTGCGACTGCTGTCTCAATTCTGTATTCAGGTCAATGTAGGGTTTCAGCCATGGCGCCTAATCAAACTCCAATACGCGATGAATTTTCATCAATTTTAGTTCCAAACTCAAGTACTGCTTGAGTTTCTTATAGTGAATTACGTAATTCTTTTTGGGGAGCAATGTCGTCATAACCTTGGAGATTTTTTGTTTCAGCGTGTAAAGTGCTCCGGGCAGAGGGGTAAATCCTTGTAAGTTTCATGGAGTTCCTTGGGATACTCCAAGTACACTTCAAGAATGTATCCCTTGCTCGCATCGTCCGGCACCGTATCCATATCAATGATTAATGGATCATCAATCCACTGGAAGGATCCGGAGGATAAGTACTGCGACATGGCTGCCCCATACAAGTTATTTACATCGAAGTACATTAAGTACGAGGTCTCCTTGGCAGGATCGAATTTCTCACCCATGTACTTGTTGTTGGACCACAGGCAACAATGCGCTTCATTATTTCTAACGTTCACTACTGCTCTCCTCAATTGTAGGTGTTTAGGTGATGGAATGTAAGTGCTTGAACCCACTGTAAGTGGCATATATTTTGCTTCCATATGTATACCCTCTCGGGTTTTTACATTTTGTTCCCTTCCCTATCTGCGTTACCATGGGCCGACTTACTTTATCCCCAACTGCACCCCATTCGGGATTGGACTGCCAGGGAAACCATGGAAAACCTCAGTCGTGCAGCCGGCCGATAATGCAGGGATTTCACTGTGTCCATTGGTCACACTGACTCAATGGGCACAGTGATTCTCTACATTTGTGCCTAGCGACTGTAGTCCCACGCGGTTAGGTGTGCCTAAGCGGACACCCATCCAAGTACTGGGCAGACTGAAGGCTGCTTAGCTTGGATGACCGCCGGAGCCACACACTCCCCGCGTGGCCACTACAGCCACTTGTAAGTGGCATATATTTGTTGATATTAATTGTGAGAGTGATAACCTCAATCAGCTCCCACCCTGAATCTTTCTCCTGAAAATCCTCGATCTTCGCAAGAAGTCGTTCTATGAGATTTTCATTGAACCACTCTTCGATGTTGGTAGTGAGCAGAATGATTTCATTTTTTGTGTTCAAATATTTAGTTTCTTCCATCACTTCATCATTCTTCGTAATTTGGAACTTGCAGGTGAGGATTCCATTAGCCTGGATACTGCCCTGTTCTCGTAGAGCATTCTGCAAATGAATGGCAGCGAGGGATTTCGCATCCTCCAGGAAAGACTTAGGATCCTTATGGGTTAGATTAATGATAACACCTGTTCTAATTCGGCTCCTGAAGGCGGATTCTAAATTTTTCCAAATCACTCTATCATCTCTGTCCTTAACTAATACATCACCGAGTCGTCCACCATGATGTTGCTTTCTTTTTCCCTTAAACTTTTCACAATAGCTGTGGAGGAAAGATAGCATAGTTTCGATTCGCCGTTTGTCCGCCATAGAGAGATCTTCATTTCCCTTCTTCAAAAGTTTTTCAAAACGTTGAATATAATTTTCACACAATCGAATCCACTTTTCAGAACTCATAACAGGTTCATTCCTGTATGCACTCTCAAGTATCTCCAAAATCTCCAAACACTTTTTCTCGGAATCCATCTTGAATGAGCAGTTTTTTCAAAACTTGATACGTTTTTAGTGAACCTTCTCAGAATGGTTAGTGGCGCGTGAACTAACTCGAGTTGAATGCGCAGCGCCTTTTATAGGGAAGAATTCTAGATAAGAATTCCAGATAATTCAATGAGTTCAGATAAGTTTCAAGGTGAGCGGAAAATCGACCACGCACTAATCACATATTAAAACTCCCAACTTTTTTCCAAAAATTTACATTACGAAGCATTCATTTCTAATAATTGAAAAGAATTGGTTTAAAAAATTCCGATTCGAAAAACAATAGAAAATTATCTTTGGAATATTCCAGTCAGGTATTTACGTCTTTCAAAACTACGTAATCGTTGTGGGAACAAACATGTGCAAAGTATCAAATCCCAGGTGGTTGAAAACAATTCTTGGACTTGTTGATTATGTAACCGTTCAAAAAAATTCTCAGAACTGTTTACCGCGTGGCCGTTTCAAAACAATTCGTGGAACTATTTACTTCGTTGTCGGTCTTAGGATTGTATGTGAATACAATCCTAATATTATGTTATCCACATTCAGTGCAAATTCAAAATTTTGGACTCTGCCGGAATCCGATGATGAAGAAGATGGGAGTGCGATATCCGTATATACCCGAAGCGCTCAAAGAAAAATCCTATATTACTGTGATTCTGAATATTGTGATTTTTCAAAATGGTATATTTTCCGACCAGCACGACCTATTTCAATCAATTTCATCTTTTCAATTTCATCTTTCGTCGAAGAAATGAAAAAAAGAGAAAAGTAAATATACTATTATTACATTCTCAAATATTCTTTAATGATAGTTCTGTGACGTTCGGGGAAAAATTTAGGATGAAAAATAGAATTATTTTTAATTGAAATTTTAGTGTGTTGGACGCCAGTCGATGTAATTTTTATTGAGAGTGCATCGACTCCTTTCAATTTCGATGTTTTAACAATTTTGATGAAATTCAATAGCTGGTAGCTCACGTTTTAGAGTAGACCCTATTGTTACGAGGGGGAGGGAGGACGATACTCCCACCTTGTAATTAACTTCCACTCACACACAAAGGAAAACACATTTTTAGATATAAAAATAAAGAAAATATAATTTCGTGAAAGAAAAATATGGAATATTTACAAGTGAAATGATGGTTGAAGGCGGTTGTGACCTCAACAAAAACAAACGAAAAACTTTTACAGAGCAAATGGATCAATAATCCTGTGAAAATCAATAATTTACATCGAATTATAAGATCTCGAAATTGTAATCGTAAATTCTACTCGAGGTTGTAACAAAATTAACCGAAAATTAAATCAACTCCGATATGAACGATCAGATTTACCAAAGTAATTATGAAAAATCTCAAAATCAATCTGAGACATCGATTCTAACACCCTCAGTTCATAGAGATGCCAAGATGGGCGCTAGATAAATAGAAGCCACGACATTATCTCTTATTTTACTCGAAATTAATGATAATTCGGCTCTGTCCACCTGATTATTTGCGAGAAACCCCCTTCCGCCAGACTGGACAGGGACCGGGACAGCAAATAGACTGAATATTATAATGAAAATGACAAATAATTCTGCTGATCTAGCTGACACATCTAGACTGGACGACAGCTAGGAGAAGACTCTACACGTTCGGACGGGCTCACTAGGGACGTTGGTTCGAGTCCGAATTGGGGGAGGAATCCCCCCTCACATGTTTGACAATGAGATTTAACTGCTATTTGTTCTAATTTTAATTGCTCTAGCTAAGTAAAGAAATAATTTTTCAATTTTTTCGATGGTGTTAGTATTTAGAATTGAAAGAACCGAAGAAGAATTGATGTAGATCTCTCTAAAAACATCAAAAGCTGGGCAAACGAATAGAAAATGTAGAAGATCGTCAGGTTCACCGAGATAACAGAGGGGGCAGATGTTGGATTCGTCCAGAATAACTTTATTGGCCTTGCCAATAAAGAGTAGCTCTGGATGAGGAGCTCGTCCTGAGTTGGCTGATGAGGCTCAATTTCTTGATGCTTACGTCCATGTGTAGATAATTGGCATCAAGAATCACATGACGGTCGATTTTGCTGTAGGTGGATTGCGCCGCTCTCCTCATGTTTTCATGCCAGAGATTGGACCTGAAAGCTGACAAAATATCGTTCTTGTTGCGTTTCAGGTTGAGTGGGTCTTGGAGGAGGGAAGCATCGTCAAAACCGAGTTCCATCAGGGATGCTTTCATTTTGGCTACCCAGTTTAGACGCTTTGTGTCCAAGTTCAATGATGACTGAGATAGGGGTGAAGCATTGTCTGGTTAATCTCTCCTCTGGCATTTCGAGAATTTTTATTAACCAGTTTAGTTTCCTCTCCAGGATGTTTACTGCAAGCGGTTGTTGTTTCATTTCTAACCTCACGATATAGTGAGGAGTGGAGCGGGTCCAGCCCAGCATTCGCTTGTAGTAATTGGATTGTACTGTTTCCACCTTTTCCACCGTCCCTGAGAAATCGTCAGCCCAAATTTCGCTCCCATACAGCAAAATTGCTGAGACCGTTGAGGAGAAAATCTTTTCTACCGCTTGGATTGTTCTCGGATTTGCTGATAAGATAGTTCTTTTAGCTAAACCTGCCTGAACTTTGATGAGTGCTTTGGATTGCCTGACTGGACTTGTTTATACGGTCTTGGACCGCTTTGTTGAATCTGCCAGAGTAGAAGAACTCTATTCCCAAGTATGTGTAGGATTTCACATTAGATAATGTATTCCCACCATAGTAAAAATTGGGTGGCTGCTTTCTCCTAGAGCTTTTGTGGAAAATCATGGTCTGTGTTTTCACAGTGTTGACTGTTAGGCCAAAGAGAGCGCAGTAATCATGAAGGATATTTAGTTTTTGTCGTGCGTTCCTTGGTATGTCGGCGAATAGCACTATATCATCAGCAAAGGCGAGAAGAAGGATGTCTAGGTCGACTCCTAGGCCAACTCCAGAAAGTCCTGCTTTCCTGAAGAATTCTTCCATACCACTCAGGAAGAGGAGGAATAAGAGTGGACTGAGGGATTCTCCCTGGGGAGTACCTCTGTTGATTTTTAATGGATTATATTTTATTCCGTTTATCACGTAGAACATTAATAACTTTGAATAAAGATCTTTTATGGAACTGAGTGCTTTGGATGCCAGTCCTGAATCTTCAAGCTTTGACCATAACTTGTCATGCTGGACGGAATCAAATGCTTGAGAAAAGTCCACGAAGATAACGTAGAGGTAACGGCCCAGGTGGTTGGTGATGATTTGTATGGTTGACATTAGGCAGAACAGGTTGTCCGTGCAGGATCTTTTCCGTCTGAAGCCACACTGGTGATCCGGAAGCAGGTCGTTCGCTTCTGCCCATTTTTGAATTCTGTTGGCCAGAATTTGAGTATATACTTTGAAAATGCAATTGAAGAGAGATATTTCTGTAGTTGCTGAGATCCATTTTGTCTCCTTTTTTATGAATTACTATAGTTTTCACGGATCCCCAGTTATCTGGTATCCTACCGGTTTCTAGTTGTAAGGA